TACAGCATGCGAGGCCGTAAGTCCACGCGCAATTTTCCCCTTGTCGGTGCAAGCGGCGATTCTGAGCCGTTGTCCAGAAGGCCATGGTTTCTAAGGCTTACAGACTAAGCGGACTAAGCGATTTGTGGACCGTGCCTCGAAAATTCAGTTGTGGAAGCTGGCATTAATATCAATGCTGGAACGAGGAGATGAGTTCGGCCAGGAACACCCCATGCACTAGCCACTAGGCTCAACAGGTATAGCCCGCTCCGAAACCCTGCAAGAAATACCCATAAGCCCCAAATTCCTAGCTAAAACTGAGACCCAGACCCCTTTAAAGCATCCTAAAGCTGAATCCGATTACCCATAGGCCCCATAGTAGTTCCTTTCGGGGGTTCATATTTAGAATCCTATAAGGTAATCCCAAAGAGGAACTACTATGGGGCCTCGGTTTAGGGTTTAGGGTTTAGGGTTTAGGGTTTAGGGTTTAGGGTTCAGAACCCCCTAGCCCTGGCGCGGTCCCCACGCATGTCGAGCTCACTCAGCGAAGCGTCTCCAACCTAAGCAAGGCACGCACTCTAAGTCTCCATGTAACCAAATAGTATATACTTGGAGGATCATGGGACTTAGTAACTATGGCTATATGTACTTTAATTGGGGTTATAAGCAGTTATAAGTATAGTTACCCTAATAATAACCTTAGTTACTAAGTCCCATGATCCTTTAAGTACTTTTGCTTTAAAGTAGTCCCTATATTATTACTTTGGGGGCAATGTACCTACTATTCGGGTACATGGACCCTTAGGGGAAGAATTCAGACTTTGGGGCTTGCCGCGTCTTTGCAAATGTAGCGCCTTTTCGGATGACTAGCTCCGTGACTATAAGCTTTGGAGGATAGAGGATGGGATTTGATCTACAGACCTGTAAACTCTGCGGCCTAAACTAACACCCGAAACCTGTAAATCCACAACCCTATGCCCGAAGCTCCTAATCCAATGACCAAGATCAAAAATCAATGTAGAGGCCTTGGTAACGTCCATCATGTCACACAGGGGGGCTAGAAATGTAAAGAACACAAACTTCTCGGAAAGAGCTGCGACCCAATGTCGGAAGTCGGCAGGTGCAACGCTCCCGTTTTCGCATGCGCCGGCGCCTGATCACTACTCTCCAAACTCCGTCCCTTCGAACACCGCGTAGGGCTTAGGTTTCAGGGCTAAGGGCTTCAGAAGATTCAGCAAGAGTACAGGCTCATACCGACCTTGAGCAGTTTCGGAGGAGCAGGTCTCCGTTGCATGGCACCGAAGTTACGAATTAAGGAATGCAGGCATGCATCCTGGCGAATTCGCAATGAACATGGCCGCTAGACTTGGCCCTCGCTTGGAGTTTCAACACCCCGGGTCTGACTATGTCTGTCCCATGCCTATGTCGTGAGAAACGTTGAGGGCTGTAGGGTTTAGACCATTCTCATGAGAGTTTGGTTCACAGCGGACGGTTCACATGAAGAGTTTTGCGCTGAAGCTGTCATGTTCGAAGTCTTGATGCTCCCTAAACCCTAAACCCTCTGATGTTGCGAACAAGTCGTCACATCTCGAACACGAGCACGGCGAGGGCAAGCGGCGACCGATAAGATTACAGCGTGGACTCCTTCCTGCTACTGATATAGGGGCGCTTAATAGATTATAGAATACAAGCATTATGTATAGTCTCCATTGTAGTTCCTTTTTGGGGATACCTTATAAACTCGTTAATATATATTTGGTTAAACCAAAAAAAGGAACTACAATGGAGACTATAGGTATTATATGTATATAATCATATAGTTTCCAAACTTTTCAGGTCCCTATACCAGCCTGGCAAGCGGCATTGACTCCGAAATAGGCAGCTCAGAATGTCATAAACAAAACTAAAACCTAAACATCTTCACAACAAGGCGGGGGTAACTGAATGTATATCCGACAATTCTACGTAACCAATGACTGGCAGCAACAAGACTGGGGCATGGACTCCGGAGTAGGTAATGGGGGACCGGCGGGGCGCTTTATTCATGCGGTAAAATAAATCTCTCAACGTCCGAACCGTACACTCCATACACCACAACCTTACGAGTCCAATGTCTCTATCTATCTATCTATCTATCTATCTATCTAGCTGTCCCTTTGAAAGTACACACGTATACATAGCTACCCTCCACCCAAAAACAATCACACACTCGTTTTCTATCGGGGTTTGAGCCATTGACGTCTCTAGCTTTGTCCTCCTGTGACAAGCCTTTGTATGTTTATGTTTGTATAAGTGCATGGTAACACTATTATCCCCGGACCACTGCCTTTATACATGGGCCTACATGTACCTTTTAAAACGCCTGCCGTCGGAATGCAAACTTTCTTGGGCTGACCAACTACGGCCTGCAGACCATGCGCCAAGGGTTTTACATGTTCAGGGTTTAAGGTTAAACCCTAAACCCTAAACCCTTAAGGGTCTATAGGGCTTAGTTTAAAGGCTTCGAGTTTATAGAGCCTTAAAGGGCGACCCACCTTACTACACCCTAAACCCTAAACCCTAAACCCTAAACCCTAAACCCTAAACCCTAATACCTAAACCCACCTTACTGCCGCTTGCGCGGAAGTTGGGGCACCGGAGGCCCCTCACTCTTGGCAGCGACACGCTCGCTGCGCTCTAGGGCCTCTGGCTGAACATCCCAAGCCTAAAGCTGCAAGGTACTGGTTCAGGTTTTAGGGTTTAGGGTTTAGGGTTTAGGGTTTAGGGTTTAGGGTTACAATCATGGGGTCTTGTTACGGCCTGTGAGAAGTGATCGTTAATGATGACTTTTAATTCTACTGCTGACGCAAAGATTCTGCGAACACCTGATGGCCAAAGAGTCAGCAGACTCTTCCAAGCTCTGTTCTTGCAACTGTGCTGCCGCCTGCTTTCAAGCAAAGGGCCGTATTCACTTTATGCTGGGCACGAAGTTTCCTGCCCTAAAACCTGACTAAGTCGTGCTACAAGATGTGCACGTTTGTGGCAACGAGTGCTCTTCAAGGATTTGTGGCTGGATCAGCGGTTCCATTCATTGCATGTGCTATTTCTTCTTATGTGAGGTCCTTGTTACTTATGTAGCGGCGTTAGTTCTTAGAATAGGGTTTTGGGGGTTCGGGTTTTGGGGTTCCTTACTATACTTATAGTATAATCTATCTAAGCGCTCGTCTAATTATGAAGGCCCCAACATTACCCACTACAAGCTGGGAGTGTGAGGGACATGGCGATGCAGGGCAAGGTTGAACAGCTCTACATTGTAGGCACAATCCCAAGACAGAACAACAGAGGCCGTATTTATCCCGCAGTAGCACGAATGCCATCGGAATACCCAATAAACAAGAATGCAAACATACCGACAAAAGTCTCAGATCCGCAGGCACCGGCGAAAGCTTGCAAAAGTACAAAACCGGGGACAATAGAAATGCCCTAAACCCCTGCACCCCGAAGCCAAAGCCCCAAACGACAAACCCCAACCCAGGGTTCTTAATCAGGCTCCTACATTAAACCCAGACCCGAGCCCTAAAGCGAACATGCCTTCAGCAGCTCGTCCACAGACACGAAACCATTTGCATCCTGATCCTCGCCGACTCTCGGTGCTGTAAGAGCTCTTTGAGGAGTCTGTTGAGTAGGCATCTCCAACAGCATCCCTAAACCCTACACCCTAAAGCCCAAACAGTATCGCCCACAGAGATATTTGCTCCGCTTGGGCTGACGAGGATCCCCCTAAAAGAAAGCGAGTTTGAATGAGAGGTTCGGAAGATTGGCGCCTTTTTGCGGCTCAGTTCTATAAGGATCCAACTGCATACCAGGTCTCAACTGCAGGGGAACGATTGCAATGTTGATCATGATCAGTGTTCAAAAAGATACGTAGCCCCGAATTCACAAATTGAACCATGCCATGACCACTGTTTTTGTAGGTTTCCAGGAGCCTTACGAAACCAAAAGCAAGTAGGTGAGAGTACATTCGGGAAAACCTTAATCAAGCGGTGGACCCTGAACCCTAAATCCCAAACCGTAAAGCCTAACCCCCCAGGTACCTCCTGTATCGGGTACTAGAGCCCCTAGGGCCCTATATAGTAGGTACCTGGAGGCTTCATGTAAAGGCCTAAATAAATACCAATACTATTTTTGGGGTTCCTTATGGGCCCCAAAACCCCTTCTAATTATAAGGCCCCTATACTGGGGCAAATAACAATCCATCTTCGACTCCGGACGATACATGCGGCCGATCGAAAGCCAACCCCGTAAACCCGACATCCTGCAGCCTAAAAGCTCTAATATCCGAGCACCTACCCTAACCCTCCAGGCACCTACTACATAGGGCCCTAGGGGCTCTAGTACCCTACAAAGTAGGTGCTTGGGGGTTCGGGCTACCTTTTTAGACCTCCGGGTATGATTTTCTTATACATGTCCTCGAAGAGGTAGGTTTTGGGTGCATAAGGAAAACCATGTAAAAAAAAACTAAAACAAAAATAACCAACTTAAGAGCCCTAACGCCCCAACATGCATGGGAAGGGTCGACCATCTTCACTAGCATCTCGAGCGTGTTCGCCGGCAACACGATGTCCAAGCGCCTTGGTTGTGGCAGTACGGTATAGGACCAGCATGATGTAGGGGGCCTGAATAATCAGAATAGGGTTTCGGGCCCCATTATACTATAATTATAAAAAGCCACCGCCTCCACAAAAACAAATATTTATTAATGGTAGTTGTAGTTCCTGTTTTGGTTAACCAGTTGTATGGTTAGGATCCTATAGTACAAATTTGGTTAACCCAAAAAAGGAACTACAATGGAGACTACAGGACCAGTACATAGGAATATACGTACATATATCATATTCATGTACAGACCTGCATAGAGGTTTACGGGATGTGTAAGCGGCTTGATTGGTGTTAACTCGGCTCTGCGAGGTCTTATAAGGAACAAGCTGCCACTAGTTGCCATCATTCACAGTTTCTGGTTTCCCGAATTCAAAGTTTAGGGTTTATGGTCTAGGTTTTAGGGTTTCGAATGCAGGTTCTGAACGGGAACCGAGGTGCTTGAAGCCCTGTGCAATGTCTTTGCGCTCCAAGACGCCATTGCCATGTCCTGTGAGGGCTCCGACTTTGGGTGCGCAGTGAATTCGCCACGTTAGCTTGCGGTGAGAACTTCCACCCAAAACTTCCCTTACATATGCTTCTGCTGTTTATACGGACTCTGCTTAGATTACTACACTGTCGATTCTATTTGGCCTGGCCAAATCTCTGGTCAGGATATACAAGGCAAGAGAACAAGGAAGAGTCCACTTCAAGGTCCGTGCATGGCATGTCCAATTCAGACCTGGCGTCTGTCCAGCGCCTGGAAGAAGCTCCGAGCGTCTTGAATCGGGCGGCCATAGAGCTTCCGTGAACCGAAGCTGAGAGCGAAGTTGATCTGCTTCATCACCTTCCTCACTGCCTCATGCGAGTCGCCCTAGACCCGAAGCCCCAAACTAAACCCCTAAAGCCCCAAACCCCGTAAACCCTAAGCACTATCAATCCTATACCCTGAACCCTAAAGATTCTGGAGGCGTTTACGGGCCGGCAAACTCTACATAGCATGTATTTTAGCCTAGGCCGCCAAGTACCCTCTAATATACCCTAAATACCAACTATTGAGGACCATACGTGAGGGCTCCAAATACAAAAAATTGGGGGGCCTGGAATTCGGGAACCCTGAGACAGAAGCGACTCGAAAAGCTCTGACCCCAAGGCCCTACAGACTCACATTGTAAGGCTCTCGAGCTCAGAGACCCCACCTGTTGTTGCCCCGGATCTCCAAATATAGCCCACAGTAGATCTCATTTGTAGACTTTGGAGCCCAAAATCAATATTATGATGGTTAATATTATTATTAGTAGTGTTATTGTTTTTATTATTTTAAACTTGGGGCGCCTAAGGTTGTGCTTTCGTGAGCCTTAGGGTAACGTCCCAAACCTCTCAAGCCCTTAGAGGCCCTAAACCCCAAAACCCTAAA